ATATGAGACACCAATGTTTCAGGAGTTTAGAACACAGAATAGGACACATGCTTATATTCGATAACTGCCTCCATTTGGGTTTATGTATATGTTTTATTTTTTAAAGATTAACTGTTTTTTTCCTAAGGCATTGTTGGATTCCAGTGTTTCCTGTCATAGCTATGCAAAGATTTGATTTCAACAACAGCATCATAGCTATTAAATTATCTTGTCATGATTTTAAATCTGTATTTAACCTCAGAATGATCCTAAATAAGTCTGATTTTGTGGTGGCTGTGATTTAAAATTAAAAATATTTTAATCTTAAATTAAGTGAAGTATTTCGAAAGTCTGACAATAATCAGTTACTTTCTACAGTCACTTGCTACTGTAAGGTTAACCCTGCCTGGTTTACTGTGTGTGTGTGTGTGTGTGTGTGTGTGTGTGTGTGTGTTTTGAGGGAGTTAAAGTGGATGAGAAAAGATGGCTGCATGGATGTGCGAGTGGGAATGATAGAGAGCAGCACATGGGATTGCGTGTGAGTTCACTGCTGAATGCGCTGGTCCTGTTTTTGCTGCAATAATGGCAACTCCGCAGTGAAGACACCAGCACGAGAGATGAGCAATAAAATGTAACCTTATGGCCATTTCTGCTCAAAAGTGCAAAAGAAAGTGACACAAACATTGGCAACCTAGACCATCATTCCTATATTAGAAAATGTAAAATTTTGCACTGACTGCTCTAAAATATTAGACACCAATGTTTCAGGAGTTTAGGGCAAATGCTTATTCTATAACTGTTTTTTCCCCCCATTTGGGTTTATGTATATGTTTTATTTTTTAAAGATTAACTGTTTTTTTCCTAAGGCATTGTTGGATTCCAGTGTTTCCTGTCATAGCTATGCAAAGATTTGATTTCAACAACAGCATCATAGCTATTAAATTATCTTGTCATGATTTTAAATCTGTATTTAACCTCAGAATGATCCTAAATAAGTCTGATTTTGTGGTGGCTGTGATTTAAAATTAAAAATATTTTAATCTTAAATTAAGTGAAGTATTTCGAAAGTCTGACAATAATCAGTTACTTTCTACAGTCACTTGCTACTGTAAGGTTAACCCTGC